CCTAAACCCTAAAACACCACCCTCAGACATCTTGATGAACGCCCCCGGAACAGCATCTTAGATGGTTTCCTTCTTTGCACACGAGGTGTTTTTTCTCTCGGATGCTGTGGCGAAGCCGCCGAAGCAAGGCAATGCCAGGGCAAATCTCCCACAGGATCCGTGCCTGAAGGGTTCCTGTAAGTCGTTCCGGGGTTCTTTTATGGGGTTCCTTCAAGGGTTCTAGAATGATCGCTTCTTTTTTGTTTCTGTTTTAGGGAGCCTACTGTCTGCGGGTATGCAGGTACTTAGAACCCTCTGGGTCATCTACAGTCACAGTTTCGGCAAGGGCTGGAGGAGCCTCAACCGCTTCAAGATGCCACTTGACCAAGCCGAAGGGTCGACTGTAGCGCTCAACCGTACCCCAAACCCTGAAGCCCTAAATCCCTAAACCCTCAAACCCTCAAACCCTAAAACCCTAAAGCCCTAACCCCTAAGTCCCTAAACCTTAACCCCCCTGCTCCTCACGTGTTGCATCATGCAGGCCCGCAATGTTACGCGCAGAGCTCTGATCTGCACTGTGGCGACTTCGGTCTTGGTGAGCGCTTCGATCGGCAAGCACCTCGAGCGTGCCAAAGGGTCTAAAGTACCTGTTTAGGGTAGAATGTAGGTTCTTTAGGGGTTCCATTAAGGGTTTAGGGTTCCTCGAAGGGTTCCTATAGTAAGTACCTATTTCGGAGAATGTGGGTTTTTACATATTCGGATATTTGGAATTACTTTTATGATGTGGGGAAGTATTCCCCATAAGCAGTACCTAGAGTTTTTGGGGAATGCACTTTCGACGACCGCAGATCTTTGTCCAGCTTTTGTACTTACGGTTCGATTGCGACTGGCTCGATATCTCAATTTTGCAAACTTCCCTAGGGGTCGAAAGGACCCAAAACTTGGTACTTGGGCTTACATTAGTTAGGCAGGTCACTATTCCGGGGTGTCTTGATTCTTGGGTACTTGAACCCTAAGGGTTTCCTAAATGCCGTAAAGCCTAAACCCTAAAGCCTAAAGCCCCCGAATCCCTAAACTTGAAACCCCAGAGGGCGGTCCATTTACCCAAATAGGGTCCTTTGAGGGTTGGTTTGAGGGTCCCCTTAAGGGTTTCCTTTAACGGTTTAGGGTGTAAGGGTCCATGTACCCCGATAGCATATGCTTTCGCCTTAAAGCAGGCTCTACTTAGGTACTGCAGTAGGGCAAGGGTAAATACTATCTGAGCACAGGGACCTCAGGGCAACCAAAGCAGGACATGCCCGTTACATGCGTTCCCTATAGTGCCTCTTAACAAACCGTCTATGCCCATCACTCTTCTGAGTGTATACCGTCTAGGTTGTTTACATCTTTGCGGGTTCTGTTCTTGGCAATTAAAGGAATCGCAAAGGATCTGTATAGGGAGTTTCTCGGGGGATCAGGTAGATGCCCCAGATAGCTGGGAGTCCCTTTCCCAGGGGCAAGATACCTCCAATACGGATCTTGCTATGTAGGCTTCCGTATTCAACTTGTATGTTGGAGGCATGCTGGTACCGTAGTTTGGGGATTAGGAGCATCGCCGTGCACCTCCACCTTCAATCCCACACCCTATACACCCTAAACTCCTAAACCCCTGTTTAAGCCGCTATATAGCATAAACCCTGCGAAAGTGAACACGGCCCTTATGGAAGACACATTCTAAAGGAGCCCGTCAAGGTACCCTATATACGTCCGCGATCTTCGAAGTATACCTTAAACAGGGTTGCTTATTACGGGCTTAGGGGTTTAGGGGTTTAGGGTTCAGGGGCTTAAGGGTTTAGGGTTTAAGGTTTAGGGTCCCAGCCACCTTGTGGTGGCGTATATACGTCCTTAAAAAGATAGGTTCTTCAGGGTCCAGGTAGACCTCAAACCTTTAAGCCACCCGAATACCCCTGGTTCCTCAAAAGCATTGTTTACAACATATGCCACCATTTTGTCAAGCTTTTATCGCTTTAACTTCTAAACGCAAAAGAAACCCTTGGACGACCATAGAGCACCCCACAGAAAAAAACAGAAAAAACCTGCGACACCTTCGAAACCATAGGAAGCACCGCAAAAGAACAACTTATAGAGCTCTGGAAACCATAGAAAGCTCCATAAGGAATAAAATGATGTGAAACTTTGGGGCACCACAGACAGCCTCATACACCCCGTATCACCACGGAAAGCGTAAACGCAAAGTTACCAACAAAGTGTCTCAGGTGTCCATCGCCGACTGGCTATGAGGCATCGACATGGGGTCTGTGGGCCCAAAGGATCCTATATATGGTACGGTTGATGATATAAATCCTGCATTACCTTAAGGACCCTAAACTATGGGAATTATGGTATATTCCCTATTATGGGTCATGCAGGATTTATATCATCAACAGTAGAATGTAGGGTTTGTATGAGATTGCAATTATGGTTTGGGGAAAGGTTCCCCGCAATACATAGGACCCTTTGGGGGCTGAGGGGTTGGAGCTTGGATGTGTAGGCAGCTTCGAATCCCCAGTGGAGCTCTGCACATTGACTTCCACGGGGCTCCTATATTGGGGCTTTTGGGACACGGTATAGTGTAAACCAATATATAGTCACATAGAGCCTGTGGGAAGAGCAGCTTTGCATCTTAAAGTTGATCGTTACTCCGCAGAGTAGATGCGATCCTCGTCTAAGCCAATTTCCTCGAAATCTGAGCTCATGCAGACTATGTCAAAGTTCACCGTGGTTTGCGAGACTGTGTTATGTCAATATCGTCTATAGACAGTATCGTACGGTACTGTATGATAGACGCAGTACCGTTGTTCCTTCTCCGCGAAGCTCGGGCTCCAACAGGCTTCAAGTGCTTTGCTGAATCCCAACTTTTTGGAAAGAGATGGCATCTTGGATGCTGCTGCTGCTGCTGCTGCTGTAGACCCATAACAGCGCCGTCAGGTGACAGCACCGGGTCAACTCGCGCGTCGATCTTGCATGCAGGGCTTTTAACAGTTAGGCTATACATGTCTTAGCAAAGCTACCGGCTGTACGTGTAGTGATGACGTGTCTGATCACAAGTGTAAGTGTTCACACCTTGGAGAACTGCACAGTAAGGGGTCGGAGCCCGGTTCTGGAAGAAAAGAGGAAAGCGGAGGAGCTGGGGCGGGTCGAGGGGGGCAAAGCGAAGGGCGGGACGTGAGACGATGGAGGAAGCCCAATGAAAGGGGCATCTAGACTGAATGATCGAGAGACAGCGGTGACGACGACCGACCCTGACAACGTCAGAAGACGCGGGCCAAGCATGCGCCAGAAGGCGTCAGTATTGTTGTGTTGTCACGGTGTGATGGGTGAAGGTGTACCGTAACATGACGTAGCAAGGAACATCGTAAAGGACAGTTGCGACCGGCGAGAACACGGGGAACGAGAACACAGAAAACATGTCTGACACGTACGATGGCCCTTTGAGCGCCAGAGGACGCGGGCTCGAGTGGCGCCAGAGGACCCTTGTGCTTGCGCCAGAGGACGCTTGCACTCTGTGTGTGTGTGTGTGTGTTTCAGCGAGAAACACGTAAGAAAACAGGCAAAACGGAGCCAGCCATCGTGTGGTGTGTGGCACGTGTGTCGCTAGATTGGTGCCTTCGCGTGTGTGATCTGAGAAACCTTCGTGGAAAGCCGGTGTGTACGGGTGAAAAGCTAGTAGCCTCCTGTCCGTTTGAGCCCTGTGAGCAGATGCGTAAGCAACTTGTGCGAGTTCTGTCAGGCGTGAAAAAAGCCGAGCCGGGTTAAACCCACCAGATTAATTGGAATGTCGGCGCCCACCCGCCATCCCCGGACAAGATGACACAAGACAGGAAGACCAAATGCCCCCGAGGGGACATAGGTCCAACGCCTGACTTGCGATATGTCATCATGCCCGTTTGCATCTCGTCCTCCCCGAAGGGAGCGCCCCGTGTGGGGAATGACGTTAGCCCCGCGCGAGTGCGTGTTATGAATGTGTATCGAGAAGAAAGCGTAAATTCACGCACTTTTGGTCAGGGACCTTGACCACGATCCAAAACGAGTCGAGAAAACGGAGAGGCTAACGAAGCGTCGAACGAAAGAGACGAAATGAGACGAGACCGCCAGCGTAAGAGCCTATGGGACCGTGGCACTGTCGAGAGGGACAGGTCACGATGGGTAATGAGCGCGGGTTTCCAGGGGGCACCACGTGGAGGTTTGATGCATGCCGAAGGTTCCTAGCCTGATCGGAACCTCCCCCGTTGCGTCCCGTGTGTGGGTCGGTTCTGCATGCTCACACTCTGCTGTACCAAAAGAGCAGGCACCGTCCTATGCATACACTCTCTTTTGCGCTGCAACGGGCAACAGAGCGGCTAGCCGAAGGTGTTGTTCGTTTAAAGTCGAACATGCACGCCATAGTCGGGGCGGTTCGCTCCCTTCGGGCATTGGAAAAGCCTCTGCCGCCACCAAGGCCCGAAGACCAGGGAGGGCGGGAGGGCCAAACTTCAACTGAGCCGAAAAGTCTTGAGACACATCGGCTCATTCGCTAGCAGAACTCTATGTTATCACTAACGAGCAAGTTCTGCATGCTCACACTCTGCTGTACCAAAAGAGCAGGCACCGTCCTATGCATACACTCTCTTTTGCGCTGCAACGGGCAACAGAGCGGTTAGCCGAAGGTGTTGTTCGTTTAAAGCCGAACACGCCATAGTCGGGGCGGTTCGCTCCCTTCGGGCATTGGAAAAGCCTCTGCCGCCTTATCTAAATACTTTGCAGCGAGTGTATGCAGGAGTTCGGTTCCTTAAGAGACAGGGCAAGGGGGGGCAGCACGAAAACCCGACTGTTTCCGGACCCATCCGTCGTCTTCCGCTGTCTGAGGCTTTGCCTCACTCACAAACAACTTGCAAGAAACAGGGCGGATCGCCACACCGCCTACTGTACATCGGAGCCTTTGGCTCCCATTCTGGCGGAACGCCTGTGCACAGGGCTTATAACCCGAAAAGCTCTGCAGAGCTTTAAAGATGAAAACCGCCCACCGCGGAACTTTGTGCTGAATCATCAGCCGGTAAATCGTTCCCAGCTGGGGCGGTGTCACCTGCAGCATCACCTCCCTCAGGCGTTGTAGAAGGAGCTGAGGGTTGGGCTCCCGGCTGATCGTCACCTTGGTCCGGAGGCACTGGCCGCCCAGCTTCTCGATCTTCCGGCTGATCGGAACGAGGTGGGGGAGGTTCTGGCCGCCCGTCCGCGGGTGTACCCGATGGTGCAGAAGAGGTTCCCGACGGGGTGCTCGCTGTAGTGCCAGTATGAGGTGGTACACCTGGGGGGGGTGGAGCACCTGCGGATTTGGAAGCGGTTGTGGGCTCCGCTCTCTCTGCATCCGCATTGACTCTCGCCTCCAAGTAATCGAGGAATTGCTCCATTGTTTAGCAATCCCCCACCTCCTCCTGGGTCCAGGTGACTCCCCGCCTTTCAAGTCTCTCCAATCTGTTGAGGAGATAAAGGCGATGGGAGCGGCCCAAGCTCATCATGGGCGGTAGCGCCCTCACCCTCTGCAGGGGAGTGGCACGGGGCTGTAACGCCACATTGCCCTGGGCCACCTGGTGTTGTACGGCACGAAGTCGGGAGCGATGGCGTTGAAACGCCACTGCCGTGGATACACCTGCCTCCAAATCGGCCAGGTACTTGGGGTCGTTGCGAGCAGTGTCGTTGGATGCCCTCACCTTGACATTGCTGGACCCCCCTTTACCCTTCTGCCCTCGTAGCTGGGCGGTGCGCCTGATGGTATCGGCCAAAAGCCCTCCCATCACGGCACTCGAGCTGTTCGCGAGGTTTTCCAGGAGTGCCCGCTGCTGGCCGGCGTTGAGGCCTCTCATCCTTTGCTCCAGGTCCGCGCATTCTCGTTCGAGCCGGGCAACTTCCTCGAGCTCCTCTTTGTTGAGGACGACATCATCCTCCGGTTCCTCGTCATCAGATACCACGCATTGCTCCCTGTCACGGTTGCACATGGTGCAAATCGTGCGGGTGATTGGCACCCCATAGGAGCACCTTTTGCAGTACCAGTGCGTGGCTCTCTTGCCAGCGTTCCCGGAGCCTTTGCCACTCGGCGTCGAACTCGGGGCGGAGGCACCCTTATACTGCCATCTGCAGGCGGTACGCCCTCATCTGGCGGAACTGCCGGCCCATTGCCCAAGATCTGCATAGCCCACCGGCCCATAACATTCTGGGCTTGGTCCGCTTCCGCATAGGTCTCTGCAAGCGGGAGCAGGCGGAGCGGGGCCGGGTAAATGCAGGGTAGGGCGGCACGGCCTGGGCGAGGTGGCCCCTCATTCCCCCCGTAATGTTGACCAAGGCTGGGGTTCCTCAGGAAGTCCTGAAAGGTGAACAGGGGGCGATGGTCTCCGGTCGCAGGGCTGAGGGGCGGTAGATCGCCTTGAGGTTCCGGATGTGCCTTGTGTAGGTCCATAAAGCATGGATTGTCCCGATTTGCAAGATGGATCCGGGACATGTGGCCTCGGCGGTGTGCCCAGTGCAGGATATTGTGCCACTTGACGGATGAAGATCACTCCCACGCGCCCCCATGACTGCAACCCGCATAGGGCCCTGCGGCACATGACCAAGATGTCAAGCTCGCGCACAGTGAGAACCACAGGGCCTCTCCGTTCGGTGCCACAATCGCCATAGGACGGCTTTCCTCTGTGGGGCCCCTGGCCTTCGGGTCGACCAGAGGCTGAAGGCCACCAGACGCCGGTGGCGGTGCGGCATAGCTTTTCGGGGTGGCTGGAGTAGGGGGCAGAGGTCCCTCGGGCAGTGCGCCCATACCCTTACCTTTTCCAAGGCCTTTCTTGGCGAAGTAGACGGACTTCGGCTCCGGCACTGGCTGGGGGCGGTGCGGCTGTAGCGGCAGAGGGCGGTGACGCCTTCCTCTTCCATCTGCTCGTCCTCATCCAAGCCAGACAAAGGGCCTCCCAAACAGGCCCCAGTCGGAAATGACTACTATGGCTTTGGCGGATGCCTTTCCGCTGTGCCCGGCGATTGAGCACAACAGTATCTGTGGACGCCCTCGGGTGCACCAGCAGGTCGTCGGGGGCAGGGCCGTTATTGATGAGAGACCCATGTCTTGGCCGCCAGCATCCACATCCAGAACACTGGTTCGCTTTGATGGTCGTCTCATCCTGGCAGTCGGGGCATATCCAGTGTGTCGCCCTCTCCTGCAGCGTGTCGAGAGCGACGGCACCCATTGCAGCCATACCGATGAAGCCCATTAGGTTCTCCACAGCCTCCACAGATCCACCGCATCGTGTTGTCAAACGTGGAGGCGGCGCCTTGGTGGGGAGGGCGGAGCCTCGGCCCCAGGGGCTTGCGACGGCTTTGGGGGTGGAGCAGCCTTCTTAGGTGGAGGCGCCGTGCTGGGACGTGCCTTCGGTGGGGCCTTGTAGGGCTTCTGATGCTGGAAAAATGCAGCCACAACCAAAGACCGACTTGAGCTCGGCGGGGGGGGGAGGCGGCGCTTCCTTGGCCCGTGCCCAGGGGTTAGGCCGGAGCGGAGCGCCAGCTGACGAAAAAGCTTCCCCACTCGCATGAGGTCCATGAGGAGGTTCTCCGTCACCTTTTGGCCCCCTTTCGTCCAGGTACATCGTCAGGGCGGTAACTGCCATACGGGCCTTTGGAAGCCCCCTTTTGCTGTCGGCGGTACCGGTAGGGAGGCCCCTTTTGCAGCACCTCAGCACACGTCCACAGCGGATGCGAGGGTACCTATCGATCTCCGGGCCAGAGGACTCAGTGTCAGGACCGCCACTGGAAAACTCCTCGCTGCTGGTGTCGTAGAAGGGGGTACCCCAGCGACCTTTGTCCTTGCCCTTGGCAGAGCCAGCTCTGTGGCGAGGCTTTTGGCGGAGGCCTGATTCCACCATCCATGATGGGGGGCGGTGCCGCTTGACCCTCCATCGCTTGACCCTCCATCGTTCGACGGGGGCGGAACCGTCCCCCGTCCCCCCAGTACCAACTCCCAGGACCAGGATATTGTCATGGAGAATCCTGAGGCTCGGGTTGAGGAGGATCTCCTTGGCATTGCCCAGCGCCTGCATGCGGACTGTAGCCATTTCCACCTCATCTGAAAGACTTTTGTCCGGGTGGAGGCGGATCGCCGTGCGTTTGGAGGCGCGGAGGACCTCACTCATAGCACTGCCCGGGGCGAGGCCGAGGAAATCCCATGCACTGCCCCATTCCTGGATCCACTCTCGAAGTTGGCGATTGCCCATACCGGTTGGCGGAGCAGCTTCGGCCATGCTGAGAGCAGAAGGAGAGGCGGTGCGCCGGGGAGAGCGGAACGCTTGCTGGAGCAAAGAAAGCAGCTCGGGAGACACACGTGAACCAGGTCTCTGCGGGGCAATAGGCTGTTGGCTCTCATGCAACGCGACCGACGACGAACTCTCAGAGGTTCTACTGGGCCCAGCTTGAGGAGGGAGGAGCCATTCGGGGGTACCTCCATACCTAAAAAGGAAGGGTGGGGGATCAACAATTCCGCCTGCTTCCAATTGCCTACGGAGCCTGACTCTTTGAATGAAGGTGAGTCCGGTGGTTCTTTCGAGGTGCTCAAGATGCGCTTGGCTAGTGGCCCAATTTTCATCGAATCCCTCATCGGAGCCCTCCGCGCTACCACTTTCACTGGAAGGGCCCCCAGCTCTCGTTCATACAAGAGTGCCCGCTAGGGTGCATATACTGCTGCGGTTGGAGCACCGGGCGGGACGCCAGCATGTCTTTGGACCGACTGGGAGCAGCAGCAAGGTCAGTGTACAGATAGGCATGTACAGCATCAGACTTCCAGCCTCCAAACCTCTTAACCACTTCCACGTCGCTAGTTACGGCAAGCATGGCGGTGGCGCCTCCTTTTCGCAGGCTGTGGGAGGCGACGAGATGCGCTGGATAGCCTAGCGCCGCAGCAGCCAGCCTTAAGCTTAGTAGGTCAGATAGACCCTCTCGTGAGATGCCTATGCCTTGCCAAGCGCAAACAGGGAGACTAACGTCGCTTACCCAAAAAGGGTTATGCTTAGCGTGTTCCTGCAAGGCCCGGACAGGACAGATGTCCTCGCCAGTGGCGTGCTGGAGCCTAACCTGTCCCCTTCCGAACTGGTCCCCTTTAGAATCCCTTAGCTGCACGGCAACAGAGTCAGCTTCAAACACGGAACAGCGTTGCCCCTTGCAGAAGAAGTCAATGTCGCTGCCTCGGAGGACCCGAGTGGGAACATTGCAAAGATCCGAGCCGGGGAGGGACTCCGAAGCTCGCAGCATGAAGAACCAACCTAGGCAGATCGAGGTAAAGAGCTTTCCGTTCCGCGAGAGGGCGGTCCGACCCGTCAAGATACCGCTTCAACCAAGTGAACATGCCAGGGGTAACGGGGACCTTACGGACTGGGGCCCCGTCCCAGTGGTTCATCCCAGCGAGCGCTGCCCAAAGCCTGACTCGGCCTGTTAAGGGGTCCTGGTAGCCGGCTGCTATGTGCGCGTACCGGATCCCTGACAGCCGCTGCTTGATGCCTTGGGCGGTGCGGCCCATCACCTGATGCAGGAAAACAGTAAAGCGGATCAACCAATCCTCGTCTCGTTGCTTCTCCATCCGAGACTCCCCTTGCAAGAAGGGTGACACCCCCGTGCCAGACTTGAAAGCTGCCCATTGCTTCCACCCCGTGTTATAGGAGCGCCTGGTAGAGTCAGCGAGTTTGCTGAGAAACAGCCTCCTGCCCCACCTGGTCAAGAAAAGAGGCCCCGCCTCCTAGGGGTAAGCCGCGAGTCCTGAAGAACTTTTCCCTCTCGTCGCCCAGTAGGACTGGGGTTTAATGAGCGATGGGCTGGATCAGCCTTCCTCTTAACAGGGCCCCCTACTCGGGTGTCCTCAGAACAATCCCAAGCAGTAGGTTCCACTCCGGGCCTTCACGACCCAAACGGCACAAGGTCCAAGAGGTCACGAGGGCGATCTGGGCACCGACTCCAGGCGGTATTAGCCTCCTCCTCATCAGGGTCCAAACAATTCCCGACTTTGTCAGCGGGGGTTTGCCACAAGCCCAGCATGCGGCAGCGACTTGCCAGCCCGGTTCCCGGTCGATGCGGCGAAGAGCCTTCTCCGGTCCCTCAGCCTTAACAAGGGCCGTCCACTCCTGGGAGGTGACTCCTTGTGCTTTGGCTATCTCGCCGGGACTTAAGGGCCGGACTCCCCCGGATATGCTTGGGATCAAAGTGGCCCCCCGGGACATTTTAGGTGCCGCGTGGGGCCCAAAAAGGCACAAGCGGGCCCTGACGTGTGGTGAACCAAGCACGTAGCCGGGAAGCCGGGCCCCTTAACATGTCCGTAGGGGTGCGGGAGCCAGGGATCCCCGGATGTGACGATGCCAGGCTCCTGAGTCACCACACCCCCTAAGTGCAAGGAAGCGGTCTTGGCCTCAGGGTCCACGGGATCAGCTGCATGGCAGGGGGTGGGTGAACCCGATGCTGTTCTATCCCTGCCGGAGACACCTGATCAGCCCAACCTCGCAGAAGTGTCCTTCGTCGGGCACTAAAGGCGCCCAAATGGGAGCTGACGTACGACACCGTCCTAAGATTAGGGAGGATCTCCTGTATGCCAGCAATCAGAGACGACACATCAAACTGCCTTGGGCAGTCGACCGCCAGCTTGCCGAGGCGACTCTTGCTCTCCTTAAGGCGGGCCCAAAAGCGTGCCTTCTGCGGGTCCTGAGAGAAGGTAAACCAGGCATTGCCGTGGCTTCCCGTCTCCCAGGCGCGAAATAACCGGAGGGCGATGGCACAGCTGGTGAGCTTCGGGAAGTCGGGACAGTGAGTGAGCTGACGAGCCTTTTGCGCGCTTGGGTCCAATCCCAGTGGCAAGACCAGAGCGGAGCGCTTGGCATCTTGGAGGAACTCCTCCCACTTGATCTTTCCTGGGGTCTCATCCCAGCCGTCAGCCACAAGCTGCTTTCGAACCACTCCCAGATCTTCCCGACTCAACCAGTCAGCAAGCTGATTCCGATACTTCCGGATATATATAGGATGGACAGTGAAATTGTGCTCACACTCTAAGCGCTGGACTAGCCTGATAAGCAGACTTGCCACCCTATTACCTGGGCGGCGCTTGTAGAGCCAACTACGCACATTCGTATAAAGGACAATTTCACCATCCCAATGCTGTTTTCGGTGGCATGCTAGGACCACGAAGGCGAGTAGCTCCATGATGGAGATGATGTCAGCCTCGTCCTCCGAGGAGGCCACAGCGCGCAAAGCATCCTGGAATTTATCCACCGAGGACGCGTGGAAGACCTTGGCCTTCCAATCAACCGCGCCAAACCTGCCCAGAGTAGCGTCCCCCCCTGTGATCCGCGTTCGGGCGGTAGCACCTGGAAGAGCGAGTCTCTCGCGGATGGGCAAAAGCTTCTCAAACACAGAGGCGAAACTGGACTGCAACGGAGCTTCAAGCTGAAGTCTAATGAAGTCAAGGGCGTCCCAAAAGTTTTCCCACCTGAGGGCTTCCTCTTCAGGATCGTCAGCTTCCACCTTAAGCAACGTTTGTGACTTCCCTTTAACTTCCTTCCGACCCTGCCCTTGGAGGTTACCTTTCAGGAGGCAGTACAAAGACGGGAGATGTGGGGTGAGCGCAGGGCACGCTACCGTCCAGTACTGGGCGCATCCAATAACCTCCTGCAGCAGGCCAAGCGGGACATCCTTACAACCCCTCTGCAACGCTGGCTCACCGAGCAAGCACTTGGCTTTCATTCTTTTGGGCTCCGGGAGTCTTACCTGATGCTGCTCGAAATCCATGTGGAGCCCCCACAACAGCTGAGTCGCTGAGGGTTCCCCCTCCTCTGCCATCTTCTCCACATTCACCCCTTCGGGGCCCCAAACAAGTTTCATGGTTTCGTCAAGAACCTCCAAAGAGTCGAAGACCCGGGTTCCAACAACGGCTCGACCACCACCCCGTCATCCATCAACCACTTGGACTCGTACGGAACCACGTCGTTGAAGCGGGGATCTTCAGGGCGGAACGACCCGTGATGCGCCTTTGCGGCGGCACTCCAGGCGACAAACTCCCCGGGGAGCCTACCCATCCAAAGGGCATGGCCAGGCTGTGTATGATTATAATCCAGCCAACCGAACGGCAAACTCAGGAACGTCCTGTGGGCGAAGGAAATGCCACTTAAACGCACGTGGCACGTGTCGTTTGGCACACCTCTGCGGGATATCGGGGTGTCTTGCCCTCCACCACAACGATTGCCTCGCCACCGCGTGGTGTCTGGGTTGAGGGGCCGGGGGGTGGTTGAACTTGGAGCCGGCCTCGTTCTGCTTCCTCATGTCGTTGATGGGCCTGCCCTCCGCGGAAATAGTCCGGTCAGGGTTCTGTTTGGGCACACGGCCCAGAGGGCTCTCCGGCACTCCACTCTCCCCTCATTTCAGGAGGGCGGCGCCGTAGGCTGCGTCCTTCCATGCTTTTTGGAGGAGCTCCTCTTCGTAGCCGTACACCGACCCATGGTTCTTGGCTTCTTCCCGACGGAGGGGCCTCCCTACGGCTCGGCACTCCCTCCTCCGCGCTTTGCCGGAGGTACTCCTGGTGAAGGGCGGACACGCCTTTGAACAAGCCGTGTCTTGCACCTGCAAGGTGGTCACCTAGTGTAGCAGCCCGGACCGAATTTAAAGCCTCAACGGCCTCCTTTACAGTGCCAGCTGCTAACACCAGCTCCGCTCCCAACCTACCGGCCTCCATGGCTTTATCGACCGAGAAAGAAGACTGGCAATGTTCCAGGTATTCCGCTGCCTTGTCATAAGATGTCCCTCCCGCCCTCTCAACAACTCCTTCGCTTCCTTCGTCAGCGAGTTTTGGGACCGTCCCGCCCTTTGCGGGAGGGTGGGAGGGAGTCGGCCCTCACAGAAAGGGGGTCGACAGAATCATTGGCCAAGCAGTGCAACCAGCGGGTTGCCAACTCCAGCGCGGAAACGGCAGGTGGCGCCCCTGTGGTTGCCAATTGGTGGAAATCCTAACCACTGGGAATACCCCACCAGACCGACGAAGAGGCCAGGCGCTGGACAAAAAGTCTCACGTCGCACCCCACCAAACTGCGCAAAGACACAAGTTGCTGGGGCGGAAACACCACACCACAACAATGCGGAGAATGCGTAAGCAAAGTCCCCACTTGCGACAGGAGAGTCAGCCAGTCTGAAGGCTGCGCCTCGATGAGCCAAAGCAAGTATCCCTGCGACAGCACCGTCGAATGGGATGCCAGCCACGTTTGCAGCGTGGGAGCACCAA